AGGCATCGATGGGTTTCCACTTGTAATTAAGATTTTAAACAAAATATTATCTTCTTACTTTTTCTATAGATTAAGTGAGATCACATAAATTGATCTAAGTTCATTTACATACGTGAAAAATAAGGCAAGCATAATGGCATTCAATTTTTGTTGTTCTTTAGAATTTGTTTTAATGCAATTTTGTTTTACTCATCGAAAAGCTGACGGATGTAATCATCACTTAAATTATTAATCTATTTGAGTAAGTGTGTTAAATACCACTTCATTAAAGCTGTAAATAAAAACTTTTATATCAGTTTCCATAATCATTGTTTTATTGCAATTTATTATTGCTTTTAATTGTATATAAGCTTTGGTAAAGATGCATGAATAGATTGTGATTCTACGATAAATCGAAAATATTATCTGACCAAATTATTACATATGTATTGTAAATGTTGCATTTCACTCATTTAAATTCATAAATATATTTATTGCATAAATTGAAATGAGATTATGCAAATAAATCTGAATGAGATGGATAATGTCTTTTTTTTTTCAAATTACAAAGTTAATCAAAAATTTTTGTAAGTAAAGATCTCTTAACTGTTATAATACAGTATTGGTAGTTTTGCAAGAACGGTAGAATACAAAAATATCACAGAAAATCTTAAGTAATTTAAGTAATTTTACAAACTCAAAAAAGTGTAGTAATAAATGAATTTATTTTGCATACTTTATAGAATTAGTTAATTACATTAATCAATTATTCAATTACTGTAATTGTATTTGTTCGTCCAGTTTATTGCAAAGCAATGCTCATTCTAGCATTAATTCGTCATTCTTTTGTATTCAATTCAAAAGTTCAAAATATATTTATTCTAAATACATGTATTGTATGCATTTATTGATCACTAATATCATCCCCTATTTTATTACAATAAAACATAATCCTTGACTGCTACTAAAGAAATGCAAAAAAACGATCTACGATAAATTTAGAACGCACAATGGCTGATCACTTCGATAAACTTGATCTGCGCGGAGATCAATCATAATGTGATTATCAATCATAAGTGCAAATGTAATTCATGCAGTCGCGAGGCTATTTAAGTTTGCTTGTTTTTTTCTTGCTGACGAATGTTTGTATACATTTGCATATATTATTACGGTTCTCTTCAAATAATTCCTGTATTTTGCTATCAAATTCACAAGGAAAAAAGAGCAAAAGAATAAATAAATATATAAAATTGCTTATTTCAGCGGAAAAGAAAGGTATGAATTAGTTGCATTACTAAAAAAGAAAATTGCTTTTCAAGAAATTGAATAATAATTAGTTTTGATTGAATTTGAAATCCAAATTAAACGGTGAAGCGCCACTGACCACCCGCTGGCCTTTATTTCCTTTCAATTCTTCTATTTACCAAACTAAACCGTACAAAAACTCACTCCTAAAAACACATTTCTACGCTTGCTTTTTGCATTTTTAAAAAAAAAAGAAGAAATTCATAAAATACTTCTTTTATCAATGATTACTGATTGCAAACTATTACAAAAATGCATAAATATTCATTCTTGTTTGCTTTTAAAAATATTTGTTTTGCAAAAATTTATATTTGTTTGGTGCGTTTTATGTGATCAATCAGTGCTATGTTCAAAATACATCACATCTAATTTTCCATTTTTAATAATAAACAAAACAATAATTAATTATGTATAGCTGAAATTAGCATCAAAAGTTATGTTCATAATTATAGTTAGCATGTAAAGACTTGTAGTAAGCCTCTGATTAAATTAAATTTTGCGAAAATTTCAACTACAGAAGAAAACAGACTGTCTTAGTTTTGCTAGCAATTTCTGAATCATTCATTCATTTTTATATAAAAAATTACCGTATGCATGAGTGTTTCACAAGGAACTACTGAAATTCTAACGAGTTATAATCTAATTTACTTCTCCTCTATTCAATTTGTCGTCTCAACCGAATCAAATAGCAATTAAGAATGCAATTCATATATTTGTAATAGCGGAGAAAGAAAGTCATAAAACTATAAAATGTGTCAATTTGCATTAGAAAGATCTTGAAATTTACCTGCAAAAAGGCAACGGTAGAGTAGTAAAAGTAGTAAGAGCACATTTTATGACTCTTAGAGTAGAGACAAACTAAACTAACACACGCATGCTTGTACATTTCTCACTTTATTGCTGCATTAAATCCATCAGTACCACTTCTTCTGATGCATAAGTAATAGATACTTGCACGTGTCTACAACGAACAAGTAATGCCCATCAAATTTCTCATAACCACAAGACTATCTCATCATAATTAATTATCATGATTTCTTTATCCTTCCTTTTCAATTCATTTATCTTTTTAACAAGTAAAACCAAGTGTTTCGATGAAATCGGTTACAAAGCAAATCAGATAGGAAATGTTTTATCAGTTAAACTATCACTTGTAATCTTGCTTATCATGGCAATAG